GTATGAATAATTAATTAGCCTAAAGGGGTAGTGTTGTTCTCGGCATCCTAAGAGGCCTGAAACACAGTCAACTCACAAATAAACATAATAAAATACTAAAAAAATTAATGCAAGCTTAAAAGGAAAACTTTAAAGCATGTTTCTCTCAATTATGGAGAAATATACGTTGGCCCAGAAGGGTCACACATGCAAATTAAAAATGTTGCTGCAAATTAAAAATAGTACATGCAAATTAAAAATTGTACATGCAGACTAAAAATATTACCCGCAAATTAAATATAGTACATGCAAACTAAAAATTGTGCTGCAAACTGAAAATAGAAAACATATCGATGCAAATTAAAAATGAGTCCCACGCTCGCAGTATGAGTGATGAGGACCTGGTCCGAGTAGTGCGACCTGGCCTTACAGCCGTTGGCCCATTCATGTTTCATGTTTGTAATATTTTTAGTTTGCATGTGCAGTTTTTAATTTGCATGTCCTATTTTTAATTTGCAGCAACATTTTTAACTTGCGGGTAAAATTTTTAGTTTGCAGCAACATTTTTAATTTGCATGTGTGACCCACCGTAGAAATAGGATAATTCTCATACAACGCCTTATAATTGTTGCCGTATAAATAAGTAATTAGCTGATGGACAATGTTGCTCAGGGCTCTCATAGAGAGCTTAGGCTACCTGTGATTGAAAGAGCATGATACTGTCAACAGCACCGCGATTCTGTCAAAAAGAATACATTTGACCAATCAGAGCATGATACCAGAATCTGGTATCATGGAACAGCAGCATCAAAGGCATGGCATCATGGAAAGCACACAATTACTATTATCAACCTACAAAGTTTCACAAAGGAATTTTTTTTTTTTTTCACAAGCTTAGTGCAGCTTTTCCCATCACAGGATTCTGTGTATGCCCCTTAAAAGACATACACAGAATCCTGTGGTAGGAAAAGCTGTACTAGGCTGGCCATTAGCAACTTGTACAACAATTAGCAATTATTGGACGAGGTTGAGCAAAATATCATGATTTGTCTTTTGCAATAACCAAGTTCAATAATTGTTTTATCATTTGATCACCGAGTTTGTTTTTTAAGGAATATCTTCAGGAAGCGAAGCAATCCGCCATTTTCATGCAAGAGCAATCGCAAGAAGGAGAAAAGCGTGGTTTCATTTACGCATGAGCAGAATAGTATTTGCAGCCAAAAACAGTTGAATGCATGAGCACACCATTATTTGCAGGCAGTTATTTGCAGGTCACATGGTGGGCTCTCGGCCAATGAAAAGGAAGAAACATTTGCATCGAATGATAATAACTGTTGTACAGAAGTACTGCCACAGCTTGTACAAATTATTAGTGCAAGCTGTGGCAGTACATTCCTCTGTTTTCAAGCCATGGATGACTTTTTAATGATTAAATACCTTGGGTATTTTCAGGAGTTACTACTCGGTTCGTCACTGTATCTGTTAGAGTTAGCAAGTCCTTTTGAGGAAGTTTGTTCAAGATGGTTTTGCACCCTTCTTTTTCTCTGTCGGATAACATTTCCCACGTTTTCCCGTCCACCACAACACACTTCCTCTTTTGCAGTACTCGCAGATAGACTGGAAACTGGATGAGATGTAAGCTTGCTCATGCGTCGTTTGCGTGACCGCTGATTTGTTGGCGCGCAAATTTAACATGGCGGATACGGATGTTTTCGTGGAGGATTTGCAAAAAATCCAGAAAACCTGATCAAGTTAGGAAAAGAAGAGGTGATCACAAAATTAGGTTTCAATATTGAAATTTAAGCATCCCTGTAATAAGCTTATTTTTAAGCAAGATCTCAAACCAGGTCCTCTTGCCCTCTCTTCTCTTGCCCTCTCCTCTTTCAACTCTTTTCGTTCTTAACTCTGATTGTCATCAATATCTCACCAGGCAAAAATACAACTTACAACTTACTTTTTCTCTTCGGTTAAAGGGTCCTCAAATTTGGAATGACACTCCTCTCTCACTTCGTAATTCACTTACTCCTTCTAGTTATAAACATAAACTGAGAGATTATTTTCAATCATTATCTTTGACTATGGAAAGGGAACTTTCACATCTGATCTGTTTTGTCAAATACAAGAAACGCCCCAAACAATCTTTATCCTTTGGCCAATTGATTATGTATTGAGAGTGTGTATAATATGCGAGCTAGCGAGTCATGCGAGTCAACAAGCGAGCCATGCGAGTCAACAAGCGAGCCATGCGAGTCAGCATAAAATAACTTTGTTTTTAACGTAAACTACAAAAAAACTAGCCTCTGTAACTAAGTAACCTATTTATTCCAAAGAAACGTCCTTTAAAATTCAGCTTCAGAAAAATTCGCCAACATACAAATTGAACGAGGTGGAACAATAACAAAGGTTTGAGAATGCGTTAAACAAACGTGTAAAGGTTCTTTCTCGGTCACGTTTACTGACGAGTCACACCATATGTGGTAAGTCACGTGACCAGAACATAGAAAAAAAACCACTCTTTAAAACCTAAATGTCTTGCATCTTTCGCAATAAAACCAATGCCAATGGCTTAAGAATATCGCAATAAAAAATCTGACTTACTAACAAGTTTAACGTTCCTTCTCAAAATTCACATTTATCGAAAAAGCTTTGACGTCATTGAGGGTATTTTCATACATTTTCTTTAACAGACTTGCTTTCGTCTGAACGCTAATTTCATGCTACAGATGTTAAAAAAAGTTAAATTGCATATGATTCGCCAAAAAAATGGATTCTCTTCCCTTTGAACTTTTGCGCTTTTTCATTTCTAAAGCGGGATTGGGGACTGGCACTAGTTGCGCATGTGTAATGTCCATTTAGTGTTGTCTTATGTTCAGTTTCACTGTTCCCACCATGTTAGCGGTTTAAGACCGTGAGAAATAATAACCACGAAATAATGTCCCTAGCAACGACTCCTAAACTGTAGTTAAGTTTCACCCCCTTACAGTGGCTCTAAATAGCTTTTTTAATTAATTTTTTTTTGAGGGGGGGAGGGGGGGGCGCACGCAGACTGGGTTTATGCATGTTGACTTCGCTCTATCCAAAGTGTGTTTTACTGAATATATGCATTTGGACACTGAATTAGACCATGAACTGTAACAAATGATATCTCAAGAAGTACAAGTGGTATTAAATCAAAGTATTCCAACACTAAGTCTCTGTTCTTGTGTTAAATCTGGATCCAAATGCAATGTCATTTGAGATGGAGAAAAAGGAATAATAAATGAATTTCTTGGCATTTTTGCTATGCAGCACATACTAAGAGAGGAACTAACATTTGTCTCGCATGGCTCACGCTCACATAATGACTCGCATGACTCACTGGCTTGCTGGCTCACAGTTTGTCAAGACCCATTTATTGATCATCTACTCGGATTATATATGGACAATATGATGTGTAAGTAATAGTCACAGGAGAGACTAGCGAGTCTAATTTGTTCTGCAGTAGTACATTGTGTTGGTTAAACATAATCAAGCAGCCATGTCACAGAACTGATGGAGTCCAATATGTTTAATCAGAATTATGATTACAGACAGAATTGGATGACATGAATGAAATAAGGTGTGAGAAATGTTATCAGTTAATTAAAACCATAAAAATATGACAACAGGACATTCTAATAGCTTCAAAATGATTAGAATAGCCCAGCCATAAGAAAAAAGGACAAGTGTAAGTTTTCTGTCACAGTGTACATGATGATTTATACTGGTCACTTACTTTCATGCAACAGCCTTGTGAATAATAGTGTAAAAAAGTCATTAATAACAAAATGTTCTTTTCGGATTGCAGAAAAATTAAAAGAAAAGTTGTGTATCTAGATACTATGCTTCAACCCAAGACACCCACATCTACAGAGACCACAGCTTCTACAACTCCTAAGGTACTAATCATGGTGGTATTTCTGGTTGAGAAACAACTTAACCTTCAACTCCTTATGTTGGTTGAAGAAAAAATGTACCAAGAACTTCAATCTTTTTGAAAGAGGCTCTACCGCTGAATAAAAAAATTGTCATACACATGTAGGCTACCGAATGTTAGCCAGAGAATATGTCATAATAGACGGAGAATTCTCCAATCTCCGATGCATAATGAACCCCCTGCTGAAGGTTTTAGGATTATGGCTAGGTTTGTGGTTACTTTTCTTGATTTCACTCATAAATATTTTGCTGTCTTCATATCAGACATCATATTAGTTAACATGTCTAATAACTTTGAAATCTGTGGATGAAACAGAGTGTTTCATTTGCAGGTGCGCAGGAGTGCAAGTAAAATTATTTTTGTACAAGAACATGTGTAGATCCAGTTTGGTCAAGTTTCACGTCATTATAATTGCTTATAAACGTGGATATCTTTAATCATTATTACATCCTATAAATGACCCAACGATCACCTTCACTTGTATTTTGCCATTGTTTTCTGGCATTTTAAGTTCTTCACTGTCTGTTGTCTAGAATAATCAGACTCAACTGCAAGAACTTGCAGTTACCATTCATCAGCTCAGATTTGCCCTCTGAGAGACTGTAAGACACTACTTTCATCTTACTGCTACATGCAAGTAAGATGATAGGTATCAATAAAAGAAATCATGCCTTTTGTGTTTTTCAAAACACAGAGTATATCAGCTCTTGGTAGAAGATCATGTGGACTGCGAAGGCCATCAACTCCATTTGTGTCACCTGTGATGAAACGTCCCTATGAGGGGAGTAGCAAGGTAGAATACAGTCAACTCTCTCTAAGATGGACACCTTTGGGACTGGCCCTAAGTGTTTGGGTATTTTCAGGAGTTACTACTCGGTTCGTCACTGTATCTGTTAGAGTTAGCAAGTCCTTTTGAGGAAGTTTGTTCAAGATGGTTTTGCACCCTTCTTTTTCTCTGTCGGATAACATTTCCCACGTTTTCCCGTCCACCACAACACACTTCCTCTTTTGCAGTACTCGCAGATAGACTGGAAACTGGATGAGATGTAAGCTTGCTCATGCGTCGTTTGCGTGACCGCTGATTTGTTGGCGCGCAAATTTAACATGGCGGATACGGATGTTTTCGTGGAGGATTTGCAAAAAATCCAGAAAACCTGATCAAGTTAGGAAAAGAAGAGGTGATCACAAAATTAGGTTTCAATATTGAAATTTAAGCATCCCTGTAATAAGCTTATTTTTAAGCAAGATCTCAAACCAGGTCCTCTTGCCCTCTCTTCTCTTGCCCTCTCCTCTTTCAACTCTTTTCGTTCTTAACTCTGATTGTCATCAATATCTCACCAGGCAAAAATACAACTTACAACTTACTTTTTCTCTTCGGTTAAAGGGTCCTCAAATTTGGAATGACACTCCTCTCTCACTTCGTAATTCACTTACTCCTTCTAGTTATAAACATAAACTGAGAGATTATTTTCAATCATTATCTTTGACTATGGAAAGGGAACTTTCACATCTGATCTGTTTTGTCAAATACAAGAAACGCCCCAAACAATCTTTATCCTTTGGCCAATTGATTATGTATTGAGAGTGTGTATAATATGCGAGCTAGCGAGTCATGCGAGTCAACAAGCGAGCCATGCGAGTCAACAAGCGAGCCATGCGAGTCAGCATAAAATAACTTTGTTTTTAACGTAAACTACAAAAAAACTAGCCTCTGTAACTAAGTAACCTATTTATTCCAAAGAAACGTCCTTTAAAATTCAGCTTCAGAAAAATTCGCCAACATACAAATTGAACGAGGTGGAACAATAACAAAGGTTTGAGAATGCGTTAAACAAACGTGTAAAGGTTCTTTCTCGGTCACGTTTACTGACGAGTCACACCATATGTGGTAAGTCACGTGACCAGAACATAGAAAAAAAACCACTCTTTAAAACCTAAATGTCTTGCATCTTTCGCAATAAAACCAATGCCAATGGCTTAAGAATATCGCAATAAAAAATCTGACTTACTAACAAGTTTAACGTTCCTTCTCAAAATTCACATTTATCGAAAAAGCTTTGACGTCATTGAGGGTATTTTCATACATTTTCTTTAACAGACTTGCTTTCGTCTGAACGCTAATTTCATGCTACAGATGTTAAAAAAAGTTAAATTGCATATGATTCGCCAAAAAAATGGATTCTCTTCCCTTTGAACTTTTGCGCTTTTTCATTTCTAAAGCGGGATTGGGGACTGGCACTAGTTGCGCATGTGTAATGTCCATTTAGTGTTGTCTTATGTTCAGTTTCACTGTTCCCACCATGTTAGCGGTTTAAGACCGTGAGAAATAATAACCACGAAATAATGTCCCTAGCAACGACTCCTAAACTGTAGTTAAGTTTCACCCCCTTACAGTGGCTCTAAATAGCTTTTTTAATTAATTTTTTTTTGAGGGGGGGAGGGGGGGGCGCACGCAGACTGGGTTTATGCATGTTGACTTCGCTCTATCCAAAGTGTGTTTTACTGAATATATGCATTTGGACACTGAATTAGACCATGAACTGTAACAAATGATATCTCAAGAAGTACAAGTGGTATTAAATCAAAGTATTCCAACACTAAGTCTCTGTTCTTGTGTTAAATCTGGATCCAAATGCAATGTCATTTGAGATGGAGAAAAAGGAATAATAAATGAATTTCTTGGCATTTTTGCTATGCAGCACATACTAAGAGAGGAACTAACATTTGTCTCGCATGGCTCACGCTCACATAATGACTCGCATGACTCACTGGCTTGCTGGCTCACAGTTTGTCAAGACCCATTTATTGATCATCTACTCGGATTATATATGGACAATATGATGTGTAAGTAATAGTCACAGGAGAGACTAGCGAGTCTAATTTGTTCTGCAGTAGTACATTGTGTTGGTTAAACATAATCAAGCAGCCATGTCACAGAACTGATGGAGTCCAATATGTTTAATCAGAATTATGATTACAGACAGAATTGGATGACATGAATGAAATAAGGTGTGAGAAATGTTATCAGTTAATTAAAACCATAAAAATATGACAACAGGACATTCTAATAGCTTCAAAATGATTAGAATAGCCCAGCCATAAGAAAAAAGGACAAGTGTAAGTTTTCTGTCACAGTGTACATGATGATTTATACTGGTCACTTACTTTCATGCAACAGCCTTGTGAATAATAGTGTAAAAAAGTCATTAATAACAAAATGTTCTTTTCGGATTGCAGAAAAATTAAAAGAAAAGTTGTGTATCTAGATACTATGCTTCAACCCAAGACACCCACATCTACAGAGACCACAGCTTCTACAACTCCTAAGGTACTAATCATGGTGGTATTTCTGGTTGAGAAACAACTTAACCTTCAACTCCTTATGTTGGTTGAAGAAAAAATGTACCAAGAACTTCAATCTTTTTGAAAGAGGCTCTACCGCTGAATAAAAAAATTGTCATACACATGTAGGCTACCGAATGTTAGCCAGAGAATATGTCATAATAGACGGAGAATTCTCCAATCTCCGATGCATAATGAACCCCCTGCTGAAGGTTTTAGGATTATGGCTAGGTTTGTGGTTACTTTTCTTGATTTCACTCATAAATATTTTGCTGTCTTCATATCAGACATCATATTAGTTAACATGTCTAATAACTTTGAAATCTGTGGATGAAACAGAGTGTTTCATTTGCAGGTGCGCAGGAGTGCAAGTAAAATTATTTTTGTACAAGAACATGTGTAGATCCAGTTTGGTCAAGTTTCACGTCATTATAATTGCTTATAAACGTGGATATCTTTAATCATTATTACATCCTATAAATGACCCAACGATCACCTTCACTTGTATTTTGCCATTGTTTTCTGGCATTTTAAGTTCTTCACTGTCTGTTGTCTAGAATAATCAGACTCAACTGCAAGAACTTGCAGTTACCATTCATCAGCTCAGATTTGCCCTCTGAGAGACTGTAAGACACTACTTTCATCTTACTGCTACATGCAAGTAAGATGATAGGTATCAATAAAAGAAATCATGCCTTTTGTGTTTTTCAAAACACAGAGTATATCAGCTCTTGGTAGAAGATCATGTGGACTGCGAAGGCCATCAACTCCATTTGTGTCACCTGTGATGAAACGTCCCTATGAGGGGAGTAGCAAGGTAGAATACAGTCAACTCTCTCTAAGATGGACACCTTTGGGACTGGCACTAAGTGTCCTTCTTAGAGAGGTGTCCGTCTTATAGAGAGTCAAATAAAGGGAGTAAAGAAAGGCGGGGACCAACTCTAGGTGTCCGTTTTACAGAGGTGTCCGTTAAGAGAGAGTCGACTGTAATAATTATATTGATAATGACAATAGCAAGCAGAAAAATGTACAGCACCTTGTTGGGGTTTTGTGTGCCTCATGTGAAGGGTTGCAACATAAAATTATTGAGTACAATAAGGTTGGGCTCTAATAAAGTTTTGAAGGGAGCCCACACCTTTCATGGAAAAACTAGGATTTCCTAGTCACTTAAAGATACAACTGTTAGTTGCTAAGGGCAACTGAGCACAGCTGGGATTATCATATCTGAAACTGTTTCATTGGATAAAAATCTTCTTGAATTCAATAATATTATTTATAGTGTAAACATGTAGCAAGAGAGACACTAATTTCGTTACCTTGAGATGATTATAAACCACGGTTAAACACTCAAATTAGATGTCTTATTTTACATCTCAGACCCAAGATTTTGACAAGGCACAAAACTCAATAGAACACTTTTGTTGTGCTTGGAAAAAATTGCCTTAGTTGGAACCTTTTGTCAGCACTGGGAAAGTCATAGTGTTTAGAAATAATTATATAGTTTAGTTACAGTCAAAACTCAAAAATTATCAGTAAATCACTGCAAACAAAACCTCTATTAAGCAACTCTTTGTGGTGTTAAAGGTGCCAAATTTATAAGCATACTGCTCTCAACAAAATGGAAACGTAGCATGCACAATCTTAAACCTAAATAACTTAAAATAATAATCTTAAAATGTCGTTACTTTGCAGGAAATTTACAATACACCTAAAAGAAGCAGGCAAGATTATGGAAACACTTTGTTAAAGGCACCAACGGACTTGTGTTCTAAGAAAGGCGATCAAAATGAACATTCACATGAGTTACTTGCAAGAAAAAGAGAGTTAGTAAAAATCATCCAAACAAAGGAGGAATCTTTGAGAAAACTAAAACTTGTCAAGATGTACAGGAATAAGGTAATCTCTTGGACAAACTTTTCATTGATACTTTTTCTTTTTATGAGGAGGCGTTTGTGGTCGAGCGGTTAACACCTCGTACTCCGATCTGGATAGCCTGCGAAAACATCTGTTTCTCCTCGCTCTTCGTCGCAGGGGACGTTTCGCGAAACGTCCCCAGCGACGAAGAGCGAGGAGAAACGGATGTTTTCGCAGGCTACGATCAAGAGGTCCGGGGTTCAAGCCTTGCCTGCCGCGTCTTTTTGGTACAAGAAACTTTACTCCACTTTGTCTCTGTTCACCCAAGTGTATATATGGGTACCGGCGACATACTATTTGGGGGTAACCCTGCGATGGACTAGTATCCCGTCCAGGGGAACAGCAATACTCCTAGGCTTGCTTCATGTTAAGGAAACCGGGATAAGCTCCTGCCGTTTGAGCCTATGGCTCTTGTGCGCCTTTTTTGGTCTTTTTTTCTTCACTTCGGTTGGATGAAATGAAGGGTTTGACAGGGGGTTGGAAGCCCAGGAAAGTAGGGGGCAGGAGGGGTATGGGACGCGGAAGAGGAAAGGGTGGGATCTGAGAATTGTTAAAGGGTGGGAAGCGCGAGTAATAGGGGGAAATTTAATACTGCAACAAGGGGCTAAAAGAAGGAAGCCAAGAAAAAAGGGACGGGAGATAAGATATTTGGATCCCTGTGTCCCTCCTCATTGATATGTAGTGATAGTGAGGCGCAAAGATACGTCAAAGAAAGGAGACTAATCTTCTACGCAGCCGTTCTTTGGCTCGTCACAAAACGTTCTAGCGGTGGACTATAAAAGTGGCCCACGTGAAAACGATTTTTTTCCT